AAATGGGCCGCGGTAATTTGAAAACGTAGCCTCATAAGCCTCGAATAACTTGGAGCGTTACTACTTCGGCGCATTACTGCCGCGCAATCTTGGATCCGGCAGATTGTTATGAGATCTCTTTTCGGGATCTCTCTCCCAGTTTCGCCGTTCATTCCCGGCGCGTTAATGCCCGCGAACGCGTGCACAACCAATGCCGTAACGAATATATTACCGAGGGGCCACTTGATTCTCAAGCCCGCGGCGATCCTACGTTTGCTTTGTAATCATGCCATTGAATACCGTGGCGGGTCACGAGTGACCCGCGACGTAATACTGACCCGTCTCTTTCGTGCACACAATCAACTATATCTGGACACTTGACTCAAATGACTACACTCAAATGTATCGATGGTGGAGAAGTATACTGAATGAGAAAATCTGGAGGAACGTATTAATTTACCATAAGTAAAATGTAAACAAAAGGCAAGAGCGTCAATTCTCGCGAACAAGACAAGCCGGGGTTAGAAATGACAATTTACATTCAATCAGATTGTCTCTAGTTGTCTCGGTCAAGGAAACTGACACATTGTCATGAGACGAGAATTTTTTGTCCTTGAAGCGTCATTCTACTTCTGTTCCTTTAAAGAATAGAAATATCGTTGTCGCTTGACCTTGTTCCTGGTAAAACTAGCCCCGGTCTAAAATTTATTGCGTCACAACATATCCGTTGCGTAAGTTTAACATATTGTCGCAGTGTTATCTTGACTATTCTGCGTTGAATTTATATTCGTAATTTTTAAATATTAAAATAACACAATAGTGTTCGAGTGTGACATTTTTGCATCAACTTTATGTTATTTATTTATATATTTGCCTGTTAAATTAACATAAAAGTTAGTGAATTTTTTATTTTTAAATCTAAAAAATTAAATTTTCAGCATAGAATATATGTATTCGATCAATATATAATTTTTACTGTACAGAAAAAAAGCTTGGATGTGCCAAATTTCTGATGAAATACTAACGATCTCGAAATTCCGGTTGAAATTACCAGAATTCGGTCTAAATTATCAATACTTCCGAATTTAATTCGAATACAAAATTCTGACAACTTCAACCGGAATTTCTGGATCGTTCATGCTTCAGCAGAAATTTAGTTAATCCAGTCGAAAGTTTTTCCGCGCAAAAGTTCAAATATTCGCAGTTAAAGACGAAAACAATAAGAACGTCCGGGATTAGATCTGTGTCCGGGCATTGGTACTTTTGTCTTGCCATTAATTTACCGTAACGTTGAACCCGCGAACTTGAGCCGAAGACGCTCGCGAAGTTATCTGGATGTCGCGGAGCAGGAGGCAAGAGTCGCGTGCGACACAAACAAGCTATTGTGCAATCAGACTCGCGGACGGTGTTTTGAAAAGCAAACGCCTCGTGCGACTTTGCGATGCATCAGCGTGATGCTTATGGGAAATCCAGACACGCCGCAAGCTCCCCGTGTCGGCGGACGGAGTTTATCATTTTCCGTCTTTTCCCGTTCTCCTCGTCGCATTTTATTCTCCCGCTGCCTGCGCGACGCCTTTGACGCGACGAGCGCGGCGCACTTAAGCCGCTTTAATCTCTCGACCGCGGACGTGATTCTACGCCACCGCGCGCGGCAGCCCCTCGTCACAGGGTGTAATAATCTAAACGCGCATTTCGATTCGCCGAGTTGCAAAGCGCCAATTCGGGTTCTGTTCGGAAAACTGCGCGTTAGTTAAGCGCCGAAGTTAGTGTGAGAAGAAAAGTCATTTATTACGCGATCCGCGAGGCCAGGTCATTCGATGTCCGGTTTAAGTAGCAGCTAACTTGCTGTAGAACGGATCTGTGGAATTTTCTTTTGCGATGTGGTATCGATTGAAAGGTGAATACATCACGTATTATCGCGGAGACAAGCTGAATCCGTAAAATGGAGGACGACGAAGTACGAACTCATTGCATAAAATGACACGAGATAAAGAGAAAGAGAGAGAAAAAATCACGAAAGCGTGAGAAAATAAAAAAGTCATGATAGATATCGCGAGATATCTAGACCAATGACAATAAGCAATGACAATGTTACCGAGGGATGTCGTTAAATAATCATTCGAATTAACGGGAAACTAATCGCACGCGTAACACTTGGGGGTAACATCTGGATCAGAGCAAAGCTACAGCAGGAGAGGAGACAGAGAAAGAAAGAGAGCGTAGACGTGGGGTGAAAAAGGCGAAAAGCGGACGAGCGAGAAGGGAAGAGAGTCAAAGAAGATGAAGAGGGAGCGACAACCTACAATAGCTCTTCTCCCTCGTCGGCCTTCTTCGTATCCCTGCCATCGTTCTTTTTCTTTGACTCCGCTCGCGATACCATTCCCAAGCTTGCAGCGAGTTACACAGCAAACGGAGCGGACAGAAAGAGAGAGAGAGAGAGAGAGAGAGAGAGAGAGAGAGAGAGAGAGAGGTGGTGAGTGAGAGACAGAGAGAAAGAGGGAGGGAACTACAGAGAGTAGCGTTTATTATTAGGTTGCAGGATGCACAGAGGATCCTGCGAGCGCAGCGCGCCTTGTGCGAGACAGCGGCGACGGGATTGATCGAATAAACGGAATGCACAATGCTTCCGATGCATTAATCCGGCAACTAGTATTTTGAAGAGGAAAAAATGCAGTGCGCATCAGTACTCACGCGGCATGCATATATCGCGCGCGATATGCATTAGATATCCGAATGCGAGGCACGCATTGAGCGAGGATTACGAAGATTAGAACGTTCCACGGTCACATCGGGAGTTTATGTATTATACATCGGAATACGATAGAGAGATGCGAGAACAAAAAGAGCACAGGAAAACGACGGCAGCGGCGAGAGCGTCTTTGCAGGAAGATCCTCAGTTTACGATATCGATTATGTTGCACACTCTTTTTCTCTATCTCTCAACAAAGTGCAGCCCATTAATGCACTTTACGTCACATGTTATCAATTAATTTCGTTACTCTCGCGCTTTCTTGATAGCTCAAGCTTAATTACGTAAAGCAGTATTAGCAGTGGCGAGCCAAGCGTTGCCCGACCTCACTCGTTGAATTTTATATCGGACATTAACGATCGTTTATTCATCGTCTAATCTTCGCCACGGCTTTTTCGCGCCTCGTCGTTTAAAGTCCGGCAATATAAATTCGTGCAGTTTTAAACTCGCCGCGCTAACTTCGGGACTTTCGTAGTCGCATTAACGATATGCAATGCGAACGCAAGCAGAACTGTCCGTGTGCGTGTCGGTGTGCATTATTAGCAGTTATGTAATGTAGTCTCCCTCTCTTTCTCTCTCTTCCTATCTCTTCTCCCTCGCTAAAATCTCGCAACTTCGAACATGAAACTTAAAATAGGTATTAAACATGAGGATGCTAATCATATAACGCAAAACGCGCGTACCGTCTGGATTAATAGCGTACAACTTCTTATGCGTGTCACGCAAAACGACTGGATTTACATAACATGGCTCGATATGAAATCACAGATCTTTATGTGATTGAATAATTACAATTCTATACGCAACTGTATATGTCGAATTAATCTCCTAAATTAATCGCGAGAGAATAATAAATGTAGAAAGCAAGCGCGATCCGTTGCATATACTCTGAACACCGAGTATTTGTCTTTTCAGTGACAGTAATCAATTTGATTTGTTCGTATTCTTCAGCGTATACTCATTCACACCGACACACCGATGATCAGTGTTTACGATCAGACAGCAGAGATTCTTAAGCCGAGTGCTGATGCAGTCATCTCTCGCCACAAGAAACTCTTACAGTCTCGCATTCACGAAGCACTTTCCTCTCCTCTCCTCCACTTATCTTCGAAATATAATCGTTATTATAATTATCATCGTCGTTTCTTGCCTTGTTGGCATGATATAGTGTTCTGTGCGGCAAGGATTCAACCGAATGACATCAATCATAGAATAAATAAAAAGTTTGCAGTGTCAATTCGCAATGTTTGTAAAGTCAACTCGTAATGTTTTCTTCGTACGATACCGCCATTACAAATTCTAATCTCCTCTTCAAAAAATAATCTCAAGATTAATGAGACCAAAGTCTCGACTCAGCCAGAGAGAAGAGAAAATGACAGAAATAAAGTTTCGAAACTACTAAGTAGTATAATCATTTTCCCATTCCTATAATCGCCGTGTTCGTTGGCAACCTCCATATTATTTCGTAAAACCGAATAATACTGCACTGGATATTTAAATCAAGTATAACGTGCAAAGAAAAAACCTCAAATTGAGAAATATTTTAATTCCAAAATATTACTATTGTAATAATTATTATTAACTGCTCATATTCAACTGTTTACTCGGAACAGAGTTATACATCCGTAGCACGATGTAGTAAAATTTGAAGTATTTCATAAATAATATAGATCCACAACATATCATGAAGTCATGTTCCTCTCTATCTGTTTTCTTTCTTTTTACTCTACGAAATATCCTCAACGATGTAACAAACATGGAAAATATTTTTCTTTTTTGAAACCTCGTTTACGAGCAAGTCGTTTTATTTTGAGAACTTATCTCGTTAAATGTTACCAAGAGTCGATTTTTCCAACTTCTTGGTATAAGCTAACAATTAAATAATCTATCTGTTTTTCTCTCAAATTAGGTAGACGTACGATTTAATTATTAGTTGGCCCACTAAAAGTTTGAAAAAATTGGCCCCGAGCGAGAGAATATGATCGCGTGAAATAGTGGATACACGAATCGCGATATACGAATCAATGAAAACAGAACATCGCGTCAATAACATTGGCAATTCGCGCGCGTGATGTCAGGTGACGTTTCCGATTCTGAAAATCGTGCGACGAAAGCAAACGGCCAAGCGAGTCTCGCCTGGCGAGCAAAAAACGCTCACGAGCGAGAGAACGTCCTTCGAATATTCGGAAGTGCGACCTGCAAACACCTGCTCGTCAAGGAGGAGCCTCCGCGCGGCACAATTCGTACGACATAAAAATGTTCACAAACTCACCAACTCGTGAACCATGCCGACGGCTGCCGATGTCCCGACGTCGTCTCCGACGGTATCCTCCTTCTGGCCGAGGTCACTAACAAGTAGCCCGTGCACTTCACCCATTCCGAATCCCGGCTGGCGCGTTTACGGCGAAAACTTATCCGTCGCACTCGCGGAGATCGTGCTGCGTACCGCTACGGGCGGTGCACGTACACACGCGCGCGCGACGACGGTAAGAAAGAGAGAGAGAGAGAGGGGGAGAGGGGCTAGAAAGAGATAGAGAGAGAGAAGAGAGACGGAGAGGAGAGAGAGAGAGAGGAGACGGGCGGAGGACGAGAGACGAACGGTGACGGTGACGGCGGCGGCGGCGGCGACGACGGCGACGGCGACGACGGCGGCGTGGTGTAGTCAGGGCGGATGCACCGGGTGCCTCGACGATCATCGCGTCATGTCTCGGAGCGTGGCGGCCGGCCGCGGCCGCAGGCGACAATCCCAAAACTGCATTCCTCGCTGGAGGCTGCCGGTGCTAGGTACTGCCTGCTTCTCCTCTTCGTCCGAACTCTCGCCGCGAGAACTCCTACTCATGTGTCGCGCGCTCGTTCGCTCCGAGTTCGCACGCGCGCGCGCGCGGTTTCACGCACGTCGTCTACGCGCCGAAATGAGAACGATATTCGGAGCGCACCTTCCTTCCTTCCTTCCTTCCTTCCTTTCTTCTTTCTTTCTTTCCTTCCTGCCTGCCTTCCTTTCTGCCTGCCTGCCTTCCTGCCTGCCTGCCTTCCTGCCTGCCTTCCTGCCTGCCTTCGGCAACACTTGTGTGTTTGTTATTTTCTTATATCCTTCACTCACTGTCCGGCACTCGCGCGTTTGTTTTACCACGTCGGCGAGCTCGCGTTTAGATCTTACGACGTTTAGATCACGGCCGCGCTAGTAATACACACGACACGCGGAGCACGACACAGGCAACGTCTGACTCACAGCAGTGTCACGGTGAGCTGCGAAGAGCGAACTGTGGCCTGCCGCACGGACTTGACTCAATTCGGCGCTTCGGCGGCGCAACACGATGGCGCCACGGCAAGAGCTCGACTGATAGTGTCGCGTTGCGCCGCCCACTGGCGGCGTGCGGTACTACGCGCCGTGTCAACGGCTCGCGGCGACGCGCGGAGGGGGGAGAGAACGCCGAGTCTAGTGTGAGTAGGCTCGTGCGTGTGTGTGTTTGTGTGTGTGTGTGTAGAGTGTCGAGTACGAGTGTATATACCGTGCCTCACGCGAATAGGCGGTGTCGTGGCCCCAGGGCCGCACGGAGCGGTCTTCCTGCAGGGGGTAGCATACGCGGATATGCACTTCGTATGTGTGTGTGTGTGTGTGTGTGTGTAACCGAGTCAGATTATTCGAAAAACAAGGAACGCCCGATTGAACGTCGCGACTTTCGCGCAAAGTAGTGCGTCTTTTCAATGACAATGCTGCCTTCAATGACAATGTCGCGCGGTTCGCGAGCTCTGACGACGAATACATACCACAAAAGCTCGAAGGAAGTACAAGTCGCGACAACTCCGAGTGTATGTACACAATCCATTTCGTACGCAATTCTCACCGGCTCGCGCGCGCCATGATGACCGGCTCCGATTACCAAACGGCGATCGACCGTTACGCATTAGTCGGTGGATTAGCGCTTACCAGCTTTCGCGCGACGATTCTGAGACATTGTCCGAGTTCGGTGGATGCCAACATCCATCTCGAGCACATACGCGACTACTTCCGCGAGGATGATCCACCACTTTTCCTCCACTCCGCGATCGCGAGCAAGGAACGTCGGCCCGTATCGCGCGTTCGCCATGATTGTTTCCCTCGGTTCGTGTTGTGACGTGTTTCGCGCGATGCATACGTAAGTCAAAACTTTTACCCACGGACTCTTCTCATCTCGCGGTGAGTATACTCGTGTTTTGTCGAGCCAAATAAAATATTAGAAATTTATAACGCACTGATTGAAGCAATTGACGGTCGATCTTATCGTTTCATGCATTACAAAATGAAGCGGAGGGAAGGATAGAGAGAACTGATTCAATCGACCGCAATCTCTACCTAAGCGATCACATGACTGATATCCACGAATCAGAGACGATCGTGGGTCAATCGATCGTCTTGTCATAATTGTAACGATTTCGGACGTCTTTCGCAAAAAGAGTGATCCGCGCTCGTTAATAACGAAATCACGAACAGTGTTTACTCGCGAGTGTTCAGTGATGTATGCGGTGGCGGTATGCAGGTCTGCGTAAGTACGTGCGTGTATGCGTCCACGAAGCGAGGTAAACGCGCGTCGAAAAACAAGGATCACCTGATTTAACATCGCGACCTTCGTCCGCTGAACGGCTACCTGACATCGCGCGTCTCGCGAGTTTCGTCGGTGAATGCGCGTCGTTGTTCAAGCGCGTTAAAAATATTTCTTTCGCTCAGGAGAAATACTTCCGACGTAAGAGAGTTAGAGTACAGGCGTAACGAAAAGCGAAATATACTATTTCTATTTTTTGCTCCACAACTTAACCACTCCGCATATCGCAAACGGCCACTTGTTCGTAGTTTAACACTTGTTCGCGTTTAGCAGACACTAATGTCTATCTCGTGCACACGCGTTATTATTTTTGCGACAACAACTCGCGATTTTTCGTACACTCCCCGCGAGCAGACGTATCAACGCCTATCGTGTACTGAGAGAAAGATTACACAGAAAAGAAGAATATTCTTGTATATTCTTGAAATGATTCTTGTATATTCTTTGAATATTCTTGAATATTCTATTGGAAAGATATCGTTATATATTATTGGCATTTTAAAAATATTTTTTAAATATTTTCTTCTCTCTCTCACAGTATGTTAGTAGGCCCCGTGTTACGCATTCGCCATCATTGTTTCACTCGGTTCGTGTCACTACGTACTTCGCGCCGTACATACGTGAGTCGGAACAATTTCCGCCCCGGACTTTCCTCATCTCGCTTGCGATTGTACTCGTATTCGCGGTCGTTTTGTCGAGCCAGATAAAAGTCAGGAATTTATAGCGTGTTAATGGAAGCGATCGCGCTCGATCTTGTTTCAATACATTACGAGAAGCGCGTGCAACGAGAGAGAAAGACAAGAAAGCGCGGTTCGAGCGATCGCACAATCTTTGTCCGAGCAATCACGTGATCGATGTCCGCGATTCAGAAACGAATTGGTCGGCCGTTGCGTCGAATCGAAATGCTAACGATTCCGTCGAGCGTCTTTCGCGAAAAGAGAGCGACCGGCGCGCGTTTTAATAATGGAACGAAGGAAAGTGAATAATTGGAAGTGCTGGGTGGTATAATCAGCGCGATTGTCATTAATATCGTGATATCGCCCGGCAATATTTGCGTCTCGCATCAAAACTTCCGCCCAAATGGCGTCCGTTATTTTCACGTGCAGAGTGAATCGCGTGTATAATCGGACACGGCGAGAGAGTGATTGAATAGACTGTCGAGCGGCCGTTGTAGCGTGTCAATTAAGGTACGCGCGTTTATGGCTGTTTGTTTACATAGCGCGACTCGCGGTGTATAAACAGACGCGTGGCGGTAGAGAAAATCAACCGTCGCAGTGCGGCGGGGTTCGCGCGGCTGGTACAAGCGCTAAACGTTTTGATTCACGAAATCGCGCGACCCGCCGAACGCGAACGTGCTACTTGGTGAGCGAGAAGCTTGAAATTTTTCGCACGGGAATACGAGCGCGAGAAGTTGCCCGCCCTAAAAATCAAGTGCGGTGGTTCGTGCGCCACGAGAAATCACGAAAGGGAGAAGAAGCCGGCGAGACTGCACGGAGTCACATCGGACCGAGTGAAGGCGAGTCGCACGGTTGGTAAGTCTCTTATCTTCCTCAATGACATATCATACAAGTAAGAGCGAGCTAATTTGCCGTTTTGTATACCGATATAATTCGTATTCGCGACGTAACAGCAGTCGACATCTCCTACAGCAATATCTGCCAGTCATCTTTTGCATGCAGTTCATGTCGTGGGCGAATCGCGAACGTAAAAGTAAGCGTAGGAAGTACTCTCTCTTTCTCTTTTTCTCTCTCTCTCCCCCCTCTTCTTTTCTCTTTCCCTCTGCTATACGTTCGTCATTCATTCGTAATGTTTTAAGATACGACTTTGAATTATTACTCTCTCTCTCTCTCTCTCCCTCTCTCTCTCTCTCTCTCTCTCTCTCTCTCTGATGCACGATTGATCTATTTATTGTGAACTTCTCCCAATAACATAATAATTTTCTCTTTTTTTTGTTTTCTTTTTATACTTATTTTCTGTAATACTTTTCGTACTTGAGGGGACTATGTTCCAGAGCGCACGATAAATGAAGTTCTCTCTCTTTCTCTCTCTTTCTTTGTGCGATTTGTCGGTATGTCGCTTGAAAAATTAACAGTAATAGCGCGTCGCGACGCGAGTTCGTTCCCGATATCATTACGCGCTGCGACGTCGAAGACGTAAATGCGAATTATAAAAGACAATTATTGCGAGGAGGAGTGAGTAACGTTCGGGGAACAGACGAGCGAGCACGATAATCAATTGCGATGATGAATGAGAGTAACGAAAGTTCTCTTCGCGCCGTTCCCCGATATTTTCTCGTATTCCCCTTTCCCTGTGATTAATTGTACAACTTAACGATTGCATTCAAACGGACGATAGAAGCGAATCTTGCTATCGTGTTTCGATTAAATGAGCGACTCCCGGTTATCCAGTAATGGCGTGAAATATTAGGTCGGAGCACGGGGGCGCTATCATATTTTCTCACCTTTGATACGATATCTGATGCAACTATGTCCGCGCAAGTGCAGCACTCACACAGCCATCTTGCGCCATCGCATTCCTTCCAACGTGTGTTTTCGCAAAATTAACTAGTAACGATATATATATATATATATATATATATATATATATATATATATATATAATTACAAATAATGTTTATATTCATAATATAATAATATAATAGTAATTGACAATATATATAATAATTCATAATTCACACATATAAATTAGCGAAAGCGACACTGTTGCGTTTCGTCGCCTCATTGTTGACAAAAGAAACACACACTGACCATCCTTGCAGCGCGTGATTGAAAAATCAGCCGACCGTTGAATTGAAGCGAATGTTTTTTGAAAGATTTCTCACTGCTCACGCACTCCGAGAAAAGAAAAATACTCGAAAAATGAGGAATATTTATTCGGTGCCTACTAATATCGTATTCGCTTAAATCTAAATTCTCTTTTATTTAAATTGAATAAACAGTTGCTTGTTTGCGAATGTTTTTCAAGAGATTATTGTCTTATTGCTCGCAATTTATCGAGCAAACACACGGGAACACTTACACGTATATGCGAAGGAAAAACGAAGCAATTTTAGCAAATTGGCTTTGAGCACGGTGAATTTCGCATCAGCGCGCCATGCAAATTTGCAAAATGTGCCACATCTGTCCCTCCCCCTTCCCGCGCCCCGCGCTCACTTTAAGGGGGTTAAATGCGAGACGATTTCCCGTAATCCCTTCATCGGAATTCATCGTTTTTGCCGCGACAGTTGCGAACGCATCTATTACACACATAATTTCGTCGACCAACAGCGGGAGTAGAGGGCAGATGTGTATCCTCGAGCGAGAGTGCGGCCCTGCGGGGTGTAATTGCCACCACCCTCGGGTTTCATGTCGCAGGGCCGGCGCGACCATAATTCGTCGATCGCGACGATTGCGGCGACTGATTGCGAACGCGATTTAACCGGGAGGACGAACGGGATGGCCGTTCGTCTGCCTTTGAAACATACCTCGCGCCGTATAAACCGAGTGTTAAATTGCGCGCTTTAAAACGATTTACGTTCTTTCCACACAGGCCGGATTTATGCGGGCACGTTGACCGATTTTCCGGACCAACCCTCGCGACGATTACACGCGAATTGCACGAACGCAAGGCGGCGTATAGATAATCATGAGATTCGCGGCGTTTCGGCTCGCGATCGCGAGAAAAAAACGGCACCTACTGCCGGTCGCGCAAGAAGTATAAGTTTCGAGAAAGACGTTTTTCTCGACACACGATTCTCTTCAGAAGATATCCATCCACACCAAAAAAAAGTTTGGTTGACGAAACCAAAATTTGTTTAAAATAAGATTAACGTTTGCCAATTACACAAGCAAAAGATTTAATTGTCGTTATTTTGCCTCATTTTCTCAATAATATATTTACTTACAACCTAATCAAACCTAATCAAAAGTTACACTTTGATTTCTTTCTAATTTGGCACAAATGTAGAAGTACAAAAAATATTTAGGTCATATTTTTTCATTTTGGCCCACTTTGAGTTTCACGGACAGTTTATTGCTTTAAAATGTTCTCACTCCTATCATCAACAAGTGCAACAAAAATGCATAAGAAATAAAATTAAATACAAAATATAGGCGTTTTTTTTTTGCTTTGCTGATTATGAATATGAAGTCAAATGCGTAAAATTATTTGTATAAATAATAAAATATTCAAACAAAACGTGTAAAAAGTTGAAAGAAAATTATTTATACAAATTTTTTACAAATATTTATACAAATAATTACTCGATTTAATCGGGATTCGAACCATTTTTTATTAATTTAGCACATATTTAAAATATTTTGGTTAGAATCTCGGCTAAAAAATTTAGAATGTTTCGTGTCTCAGCTATGCGGATTTTGTTAAAGTTTTAATTAAAATTGCCGAATTTCTCTCGGTTTTGCCCAGATTCTAACCATTTTTGACTAATTTAGCACAGATTGGAAATATTTTGGTTGGAATCTCGGCTAAAGAAATGTAGAATGATTCGTGTCTCATCTATGCCGATTTTATTAAAATTATTTAACTATATCTTGTATTCAATTTTATTTCTTATGCATTTTTATTGTACTTGTTGAAGATAGGAATGAGAACATTTTAAAGCAATAAACTGTCCGTAAAACTCAAAGTGGGTCAAAATGAAAAAATATGATCTATTTTTTGTACTTCTATATTTGTGCCAAATTAGAAGGAAATCGGAGTGTACCTTTTAGGTAGGTTTACTTGTTAGTCACTAAGCCAAGTAAAATAGTGGCAATTAAATTTCGGTTACAATCACCAA